GTTAGGGATAACCATTTCTATTTAAACAGACCCTCTAACCCACCTCCAGTGTGTAATCAAACAGAATTTGACTCTTTTGTATCTGAAATGTGTGTCTTGCATCCTCTCTGTCTCACAACGGAAACACTGGCAGGCCCAGGACCCAGGCGAGCTCACGCTGCCCCCAGAGCTCCTCTCCCGAGGCCTCAGCACCAGAGAGATGACAAGAGGGGGTCCCGCTGGCTGCCTCCGGGTCTCTCCTCCCGGGAGAGAACCTTCCGGGGCGGGTGGAATAGGAACTGGAAAAGGGCGGGCCTCCAGATCGCGGTCAGATAAGCAAACGCACTTTCGAAGGAGCGGCAGGCTTTCGGGGCGAGCCTACCAGCTCCTCCGAGTCCTTCCTCCCCACTCCGGCCCCGCCCGGCGCGCGGCGCTGCTGACTCACCGGGAGCTCCGGGTGTGTGTGTGTGTGTGTGTGTGTGTGTGTGTGTGTGTGTGTGCGCGCGCGCGTGCGTGCGCGGGCCCTGGCCGGGACCCTCGATCTTCCCACCGAGAACCACCCAGAGGCGGCAGGTGCCCCGCCGGCCCAGCGCACGGGCCCCAGCCCTCCCGTCTGTACCCCTCCACCCCCACGGAGTGCAGCTGGCATCTGGTCTCCCCACGCCCGCACATGCTGGCCACGGAGCTCGACCCCATTGGCATTAGTGATTCTCAAACTCGCTGCCCCGCGGCGGCCGGGAGGCCCCCCCCTCCCCCTCCCCCTTCCCCGGCCCCCCCTTCCCTCCCCCGCCCGGCACCCCAGGTTCCAGTGAAACCCTGAGCCTGCTCCCGCCTCCAACAGGCGGCTTAAAGGGATGGGGGAGCGAGATGGGCGTCGGTGGCTGTGAGGGCAGCAAAGTTTAGGAGCTTTTGCTCTGGGAGAAGCATCGACCCACCCCGCCCCCCAGAGAGAAACCGGCCGGTTCAGCTGAACCCCTGGGTGGGCCCCCAGACGGTCCACCTTGCAGACCCCGACCCCCGATGTCCGTCCTCGTGAGCACGGCAGGAAGGGCGCCTTTCCCGGGGGAGGGACCCCGCCGGCCCGGCCCCGGCCCCTCTGCCTGCCCGACACCCAGCTCCGCGGATGGAGCCCCTGCGGGACGCCCCGCCGGGGCCGCCGCGCCTTCGTTACCTTCGGGTCCCGGTTCTGCCTCATGCCCGCGGGTCCGGGGGGCCGGGCTGAGAGCCGCGGTCCGCTCCGAGGAGAAGCTCGAGGGGCGCGCACACCGCCACCCAGACGGGACGGACGGACGGACGGGACGGACGGGACGGACGGACAGGACGGCGCGCTCCGCTCGCTCCGGGGCAGGGACGACGCTAATGACCGAGCTCCGCCGCCCGTGGGCGTGGGCGCCCAGCCCCGGCTTTGGGTGACCGCCCTGGGGGAGGGCAGGGATCTCCCCGGCCCGGTGGGTCTGGACCACGGCGCTTTTTGGGGGGGGGGGGGGGGGAGAGAGAAGAGAACGTGAGCGAGGAGCTAGGATGGAGAAAAGCTCGCGGGGGAGACAGTCTGCGGGCTGGTGCCCACGGGAGGACGGGCAGGGTTAGGAACATCCATCACTCCACGCGCTGCGGCCCGCGAGGCCGGCGGGAGGGGCCTGGGGTGCGGGGGGGGGGGGCAAAGGCTCCGCCCGAGCAGCCGGCGCAGCGCCCCTCCCTCCAGGCCACAGCGCTGCCCTCCGCGGGCGGCTCTGGGTGACCCAGTCCCTGGGTGACCCAGTCTCCCTCGGGGCTCCACAGGCTGCATGGCCGACCGGTCGCTCCGGGGGCGGAGGGGGCGTCTCTCTGCGCCCACCTCGCCCCGGGCCCTGCGTGGGGTTCCTGGCCCTGGCACAGCCCCCCTGGGGGTGCGCGAAGGATGTCCTTTGGGGGCAGAGTGGGGGGTCGCGGAGTGGCCCTCGCCCAGCGCGCGGGGTGCTTTCTGCAGAAGAACCACCGGCTCAGAGGAACTCTGCTCCCACCCACCCCGCTCCGGTCCCGGGCGCCGGGGCAGAGTCGGGGGTGGGGGGAGATGCTGACGGCCACAGAGAAGCGCAGGGTCCGCGTCCAGGGTTGCTCCCCGCCGAGGGGGGGGGGGGGGGAATGAAGGGGAAGGGGGTAGGCGCCCGCGCGCGGCACTTCCTGGCCCGCCCCGCAGCCTCCGCCCGCGCCCTGGCTCCCGGCCCGGCGCCCCAACTCCGGCGCCTCTGAGTCGGTGCGCTGCGGATGCGCACCCGCAAACCCGCTCCTTCCCGGCGCCCAGCGTCCCTCCCTCACCCCGAGCCGGTCCGCTCTGTCCTGCCAGCGTGGCAGCTCGACTCCCCGCCTTCCCGGGGTGCGCGGCGCTGGGGCTCCGGGAGGCGGCGGCCGCGGGAACGCGGCGGGGAGGAGGGCACCCTCAGGGTGCGGGCCGGACCCCGTGCAAGTTCTTTCCGGGCTCGGAGACCCCCGGCCGGTCCCGCAGGCTCAGCCGGCGGCGGCGACTGCAGCCCCCGGGCGGCGGGAGCAGGCGAGGCCAGCGCCGGGCCTGGGAGGCTCCGCGCCGGGGCCGGGGCAGGGGTACGGGGTGCGCGGGGCGGTACCGCTTTAAATGCACTTGACTCACCTGCTCCGGCGGTCGCCCCGGTCCTCGCTGACAGCCGGGGGCTTTGTTTTCTCCTCCCACCGGCTCCGCCCCCCGCCCACGTGACCGCCGCCGCTCGGCCGGTCCACCCCCGGCGCCCGGCCCGCGCCGCCTCCGCCCCTTCCCGGGGTTGCGGGGTGGAGACTCCGCCGGGGAGGGGTCCGGGGATCCGAAATGGCCCGCCTTTGGGGCAACGGGGAGGTGGCACGCCGGTTAGGACCCAGGGAGCCAGGAGGAGTGGGTGACCTAACATGTAGTGCCCCGGGGAGCTGAGCAATGGGGGGGGGGGGCGGGCAAGGGGGAGAGCCAGGGGCCAAGCTGGGTGGGGAGGCGGCGGCTCGGCGGGGAGCGGGGGCTGGGAAGGCTCCAGCCTACTCCACCCTTCACGGGGTCCTTGGGACTGGGGCTGCGCACCCAGCCACCCGCGCCGGCTTACACTCGCTCCAGGGAAGAAGTAACTGATCAGGGTTTGCGGATTGTATGAACCACACCAGGAATTCTGAGCCGAGTCACGCCGGGGGCGAGCAGATGATTCCAAGTCTTATGGAGGTTTCACGTCTGCTCGTTGGTTGGTGCTGTGGATAGTTGCATTCTGTTGGGGGAAATGGGGTCCAGGCTGGATCCGCTCCTTCCAGATGACCGACCTGGGCGCCTCTTCCTGAATGAGATGCATTGAGAACCTGTCAGGATGCGGCTAGGTACCTGCTTCTGCTGGAAGTGGTCCCATGCTTTGCGGATACCCCGTGTCTGAAGCTGCAAGAACCTGTTGTCTGGATCCCTCCCTTTGCCCTGGAAAACATGCATGATGCCTCCCGTCTCCACCCAGATTGCAACTCAGGAGAAAGACAGTCTCCTCCTCCCCGGCATCCATGACAGTGAGGTCTGCGTGGTGGGTGACTTAGCCCAGTGCTCACTACACTTTCATGTGCAGAGGGGTCACGGGGGGGGGGGGGGGAAGGGGGGAGCTTGTTAAAGCCAAAGTCTGATTTAGTGGGTCTGGGGGAGGCCCCGAGATTCCGCATGGTAATGACAGGGCACATGGCTGGAGGGCCACACTTAGAGAAGCAATGCTGAGAGCACCCCTTTGGGCACTGGCCAAACTGTTTTGAGTGCTGACTGCAACACTGTGACCTTAGGCAGGTTTCTTGGCATTTAAGCCTCCCAAGCTGTGAAACAGCGATGTGACTAACATCCACCTTCATCTTGAAAATTAAATGAGAAAACTCGTCTGAAGTGCCTAGTGTAGTGCCTGGCACACTTATGTGGGGCTTAGGAAATGTTAATTGCTGGGTGGCACCCTTGCAGGAGGAAAGCTGGCACAAACCCCAGCATACCTGCAGGGGGAGAGGTGTGTGGAATGGCCCCGGTAAAGGCAGCCAGCCCAAGAATGGCCACTGCGCCCCAGAGGGCCTGGTGCCGGCCGGATGTGTAAAGTTGTTGAGTAATTGGACAACTGCAATGCAGAGCAAATCATAGATGTTTAAAAGTTCTGTTTCAAGCAAGAACCTTCTTGCTGGGAGCTCAGGGTCTTGCACTTGATGTTGGTGATGGAGAGGCAAGGACTGCTCTGACTGCCCTCAGCCCTGGGGGAACCTGACCTCTGTGACAATGGAAACAATTTCATGGAAAAGGATTAAGCACTGAAAGGTGTTAGGGAACACATTTCCCAGTGAACTAGATAGTGTGTGCCACGAGGGAGTATCCAGTGTATGATCTGTGCACGATCCGAGAACACCTCCTGAAGCACCACAGGATGGCTATTTCCATTTGGACATTTTAAAAGAGTTTTTTTTTTTTTTTTTTTTTTTTTTAATCTGTTATTTTTGTCAACCAGTTCTTCTGTCAGCATAGAACACTGGATCTGTGAAACAAAAGCCGATTTTTAGGTTTAACCAGGGAAATCCCACAAATCAAAGCACGAAAGAAATGAATCCCAAAATATGTTTATTAAAAAACTTTGAAATATTTTTTTTTTTTAAAAAGTTCTCCTGTTTCATCTGCAAAACTTTAAATGTTGATAAATGATTTCTGGGACACTGAATTAAAAAGCCATTTTGCTCTCTATTACAGATGTCCAGCTGCCTGTCAGATGGGTAATCTATTTTAATATCTGAGGGAGTAAATGGATTGTTAAGGGGCAGTACGTTTTTTATCCTCATTAAAAACCTTGAAATTTAAATGAATTTATTAATGAAGATGTGGTATTCTTAGCTCTCAAAATGAATGATATTGTCACCATCATTCTCATCTCTCCCTTCTTCCATTCTCCTCTCTTTGTACCTCCCCATCCCATCCCCCCACCCACGTATGAATGTTTCCTAAGACTCATTTCTTGGCTTTTTATTTCTCTCAGTTTCTGCCATTTCCCTTGGAGAAACACCATCAGCAGCTTCAGACAACAAAAGTCAATTTCCTGCTCATGCCACGTCTCCGGGGACTCACCACTTTAGCCTGCTTCACTCCTGTGCCCCTCCGTGAGCACCATGGCAATGGCAGTGTGTGGAAAACTGCACACCAAACCCTAAACCCTTTCTCTTAGAAATGACACGGAGCACTTCTCACGTCTCACTGGCCAAAGGAAGTCACGTGGTCCTCACCTAACTTTAAGGGGTGTGCACTCAGAGGGAATGGGAAAGTAGACATCTCGAGACAAGTAATGACTACCACAGGGACCCACTGGGCATAGCGGGTGGGGGGTAAAACCGAATTGGAAGCAGTCCATTTATAGTAGGAATGAGCAGAGAGCACCAGTTGAAAGAAGCTGGACTCAGTTGTACATGGAGTCTTTGGAGAAGCATTGCCATGGTTGTTGTTACACAATGTTATATAGGGAGACACTTCACAGTGAAAACTTCCATCATGCTGCCTTTCAGGGTCAACTTATGCTTCAGCCAAGATCAGTCAGCTCCAGGCACCGATCATCTATACTCTTCCGTGACACAGGAGCCGGGAAGTGTCTTCCATCTTGATTCTATTCTGGGAATACAGCAGCCATTAATAAGTAAGGTTTCATCAACACAGAGAATTTGCTGATTTGGTTGACATTGATGGTCATTCTCCACTCGAGGAGTGAAAATGTGTCTATGAAGAATGAAATATTTCAGTGAGATCCAAGTGTCCCATGTTTTCCCCCATAATTGCCTGAATTATGCTTTTGACAAAGAATTTTGTCTTCAAGGGAATGTTGAAATGTAGCATAATGAATAAAAATATGTCCACAAACAGAGGGGAAAAAGCACTGGTGTCAGTGTGAACAAATAAAATTATGGTTTTCTGTAAGCTTTTTGAATTCTTTTCCTAAAGAGCAGAGATTCTGTCAACAAAACTTGCTTCTGACATCCCCCGACACTTTGTGTATCTAAAAGAGGTAAAAGCATTGATGAATACTGTTAGCTCTAATGTGCAATATGGATATAAGCTATTATGTGTTGCTGGGCACTGAATCATGCTTTTGATCTCAACAATTTTATGTTGTCCCTGCCCACACCCATCAGTGACATCCTTTTAAAAACATGTACCTCTCATAAAACTATTCCAAGATAAATATGTTTACAGAACATCAGCATCCTCCTAAAACTAGTGTGCTGAGACTTCAATCACTCATTTCCACAAATATCTAAGATGAGTTATTGAAAGGGGGAGACAGAGTTTATCAACTCATATTTTAAACTGTATGATCAAATACTTTTAATTTTATCTGATTTTTAGCTCAGAGTGCTTGCTAACCTGTGGTACTGCCTAATTATAAATCATAGTCCCAACAGACATGCTGCAGTGAGCTATGATACTTATGAATATATTGTAATGCTATGCAGACTGAGATGGAAATGTTCATCTCCAATATATGACAGCATTTATCAAGATGGGGAATGTAGGAGGCAACCTATCAATGGTTCTCACTCATCATTGATGTTTTTCTCTCTCTCCCTCCCCATTCCTCTCTGAAGTCAATAAAAAAATACATTAAAAAAGAAATCATATGTAATAAAAGCCTAATATGCTAAGTGTCTGGTTGTCCAGTCATCTGTTCAACCAATCAAAGCATAATATGCTAATGATATGCTAAGGCCACTTAACCACTCACTATGATGTGCACTGACCACCAGGGGCAAATGCCCCAATTGGTAGGTTAGCTTGCTGCTGGGGTCCAGCTGATTGGGACTGAGAGAGATGGGCTGGTCACGCCCTGGAGCCCTCCCACTGTCCTTCCCCAATTGGCCAAGTTCCTGTGTCCCTCTCTGGCCCTGATTGTACACCAGTGGGGTCCCTCAGGGAAGGTAGGAGAGCTGGTTTTGGCCCTATCCTGCAGGCCAGGCCAAGGGACCCCACTGGTGCATGAATGCATGCACAGGGCCTCTAGTATTTCATCTTTAATTTACCCTTTATAATTTTAATTTTTATGGTATATTTTTGTCTATATTAACACAGTTGTATATTTATATCATTTATAAATGAATGTGTATGTGTGAGATAATAAATGTTTTATTTATAGGTGTAGGCAGAAGGAAGTAAAAAAAAAGATATTAGAGCAAGGTATCTATAATTAGCTTTGTTTTTTGGAAGGTGACTTAAACAACACTTTAGAGTGGAAGGTGAGAGACCAGAGTCTGATAGATCAGCCAGGTAGCTACTATCCTGACTCAGGACAGATGGTAAGGACCTGGTGATGGAGAGATCACCAAAGCACGTGGTTTGGTTTTCTGTAGGTGTGTGTGTGTATGTGTGTGTGTGTGAGAGAGAGAGATTGTAGCTTGCCAGTCTGATTGGATGGTGGAACTGTTACTAAAAAGAGGAGACGGGACACTGAACAGATACAAAGTTCAGTTTAGGATATGTTATATCTGAAGTGCCCAAGGGATTCCTGGGAGATGACTGGTGGGTGTTTTAAATATCAATCAGGCTCAGGAGAACTTGGAGATACAGATTTTACAGTAGCCTTAATTTCTCAATCTGAAGCTTTTTCTATAACTGCTGGTCTTAAAAAAATCCCTCAATTAAAGAAAAATTAACACAACAGCTTAACATTCATAATGATTCGTAATGTAATAAACATGATTAAGAACATTGCATGATGGTATGACATTATCACTGAACAGACAATCTTATAGTTTTAGTTGGATGTTAGGACTAGTTTACTATTTTGATCTCTTTCAAGTGCTATCTAGACTATGGTGCATTGTAAAATAGTCTCTCATACTGTCCTTCACACCTAAAACCTTGTTGTTCAAGCCAATCATTTATTTATTTTCTTTTACTATGCTGTAGAAATTGGGACTGTGCTCTAATTCTGCTGTACACGTGTCCCTTCTTCAGGAATCATGAGCATTGTAAATCTAAGGCATGTTATTTATTGAATAAAGCATGTTCTTGCTAAGTTATGAGGATGGCTCTCCTACCATGCCATTCCTCTCAATGTTTACCTTGAATCTGCAGGTAATTTACCAGTTTAATTTTCAGGTTTCATACAATTCTGTTTCTAACCATTTATCTCATAAATAAGGTACTATGCTTAAATAATACTAAATAGATGTTGATTTAAACTTACAATTTCTCATATTGTGGTTTTGTGGCATTGTGTCATCTCAAGCATGTATGCAGTATTCTTTATTACAGAGGAATTACTTTCAGAGCAGGGGTTTATCCCTCTCCATTGGAATGGAAGCCCCCTGAGGGCAAGGCTTTTTGTGTGTTTTGTTTACTCTTCTATCTCCAGCACGCAGAACTGTGTCTAGAATATGATGGATGATAAATAAAATTTCTGAATGACTATTTTTAAAAATTTTAAATCTTAACATATTGTTTTGTTCCTCTGTAATTTAGCAACTTCATTAACTTTTAAAAACTCAGTTTAATATAAGTTCATTGTGATACAGTTAGCTTGATATATAAAGTTTTACTCTTTCAGCATCTAGGAGAAAAAGTCCTTTCAATCTTCTTTTAGCTTATAGATACACTAATGGCCACAAACATCTTATGTAAGTCTCCCAGAAATATTTAGGTAAAAAAGGTCAAGGTTAGTCTTAGAAACAAAATCCAGCCTTCATAAGCAAAAGTTCACTCTTGAATATGGCAAAAAAATAAATAAAAATGTAAATTAAAATAATTGGAGACTTAAAAATCAATTTCTTAAAGACCATGACTATCTGTTCTAGTGAAATACTAATCAGATGCTATACTTGAAGGCATTGCTAAAATAACATCTAACCAAACCCACAGGTTAATTCTTGCTATTATCATCACCACTTCACAATACTGTTTCCCTATCCAGAACCTGAGAAGAGTAACTGGGAAAAATGCCACTTCCCCGTCTCAGAGAAGTCCAGCTGCTGGGAGTGCGCTGGCTCTGGGGACTTGGACCAGACCTTGCAATAACGATAATGGATGGAGAGTGAAATCTGTAGTGGTGGGAAAGCCTGGCCTCAAACTCCCCAGACAATGGTGCTCAGGAGAAACGCTAACGTGGTTTGCCATGCTACCATGTGTTTCTTTGTTCTCTAAGAACATCCATTCTGCTCACCACTCATGAGCACACATTTAGTTTTATCTCACAGTTAGGAGTGTGAATGAGTGAAAATGCAGAACATGCTCCAATGAGAGTCCACACAGGCTCTCAGGCCCTTCCACAACTCTTCCCCTCCTTTTATTCTTTCTTTCTTTCTTTCTTTCTTTTTTTTTTTTTTTTACTCTTATGAGGATTGTATAGGATTGAACACATTTTGGACAAGTCACACACATTTCTTGGTACCTGAAAACAAATGTGTGCTCCTAATAGTGATGTGACCTAGGAGCAGGGACCGAGTCCACATGTTGCCCAAAGACCTCTAAGGTGGGTACAGATCTCCATGGTTACCTCCAGACTAGTGGCGTTTTCTGATGCCAGGTCAGACTCACCTTGGCTGAAGACTGAATTGGCAACATGCTGTTTATTCACAATGAGCTCTAGCCAGCACCAAATGGAACCCAGTGCAAAATACAAAAATAAAAATAAAAATTATATGTTTAATGAACACAACTTGCTGAGTTTAGAGCTGACACTTTTAATCCTGACTGGTAGAGACCTCAGATGCCAGAGGCAGAGCCCTGCTGGCTCTAACACCAGAAGAGAGGGCTGTGTACTTAAAGAATAAGATGAACTCATTTTTCAAAAAAGCCCAGAAAGAGTCAAACAGTTAAACAGATTAGGGTTTAGTTATGTGATTTATTTATTTTTGTAACTGCTGGAAAAAATTCACATTAAAATATTTTAGGCTACGGTAAAATGATCACTTTAAATATGAAAGGACAAAGACAAACCTCAAAAGTTTTGAAATCTTATATATCCAGGATGATGTCATTTGAGTAAAATGTTTCCATACGTTTCTATGCATAGAAAAGTAAATACATAACAGAGATGTTATTTTTAAATGGTGGTATTCCTGAACTTTTGCTCTCTTTTGTATGTATCTGCCTCTATCTCTATATCTGGAGAGAGGGAAAGAGACAGGGAAGGGGAGGGAGGGAAAAAAGAAGGGGGGTGGGGAAGAGGTAGGGGGAGAGAGAGAGAGAGAGAGAGAAAGAGAGAGAGAGACAGAGAGATAGAAAGAGACAAAGAGAGAGAGAGGGATTAATTTCAAGGAATTGGCTCTCATTATTTTAGGATGACTGTGGGAGCTGATCAGTCCTAAATCCAGAAGGCTGGAGGCTAAGGAGTTGATGTAGGCTGGAGGAGAATTCCTTCCTCTTTGGGAAACCTTAGTCCTTTCTGTTAAAGGCTTCAACTCACTGGATGAGCCCACCCACCCACATTATGGAGGGCAATCTGCTTTAATCACATCTAAAAATGCCCTCACAGCAACATCTGCATTCATGCTTCAACAACTGGGCATCATAGCTAGACAAGCGGACCCATAAAATTACATCACAGCGTTCAAGCAGTTCCCCGAAACCACCGCCTCCCTGACACCCTTTCCCGAACACAGTCCAGTGTGAGGCTTAGGCTTTCTGTCACCAGACAGAACCTCAGGAAGCAGAGAGCAAATGAGTCTTGCTTAACCGGCTTTCACAAGAGCAAAAAACACAGCTCAATCTGACCTAAGGAAAAGCTAACATTTATTTCAGTTACATTTCGGGAGATGAATATTTTTTAAAGGGTAAAAACAAAACCCACACCACAATCAGTATTTGTGCTTTGACAGGCCAATAGGTTAGGACAGTGGTTGGCAAACGTTGGCTTGCCGCTCTGTTGACTGATGAGTTTGCCGACCACTGGGTTAGTACATTCAAGGCAGGACAGAGT